GCACGCACACACACACACACACACACACACACTCACACACACTGCCCACCAACCCACCCAGAAGAGATGGCACCTCTGTGGACACAGTATGTGGTAGCTCCAGACAGTTCATGGTTATAAACAGAAGGAAGAGAGCATTCCTACATTTTGAATCTATTATTGTAAAGGCTCCAAGACAAGTTATGTGTTCAAATATCACCTCTTACTGCAGCTTCAGGGCATCTAGATAAACTATAACGTCCTGGATGTTTTTTCAAAAGCAAGAGAAAGGATTTTGAATACTTTCACCAAAATAAATGATAAATATTTGATGAGACAGATAGGTTCGACTTGATTTGAACAGTATACAGTGTGTACATGTATTGAACCATCACCCAATTACGCTCAGGTTTTATTTATTTAAGTAAATGCTGAAAAACTCTAAGTAATAACGGCAGTGGAAATAATTTCTCAGTAATAGTGAGACACTGTGATCGCTGGTGAGACTGAGCTGAGATCAGTCAATGCCTCTAAGTCGTAGCTGTAAGCGGGCCTCATAATTCAAGGGTTGGTCAGCATGCAATTTGTAAGACGTTTTTGAGAACATTGAATTTCATGAAAGAATTAACATGTTTCAGCTTCTTTAAAAAAGTGTTTTGCCTTTTTTCTGCAAATAACCAGAAGACAAAATGCAGTAGTTTTGAGTGCATGGCTGGAAAATCAGGGCTTGTATCAGAAGCACAGTGAGCGAATGTTCTGGAAGAGGTGAGGTCAAGGGTCAAGGTCGGTTGGCGGAAGCTCTGTTGCAGCCCTTGGATGGATGGATAGGTTCAGAGCAGCCAGGAGAGAGCTAGGAGGAGGGTTTTCTTGGGTCACCCAGCTACAGTGTCCTCAGTGAGTTTGTCCCTGGGACAGTCAGTAACTCTGCTCCGGGAAAGCTAATTCTAATTTTGTCCAAGGATTGATCAGCTTCTGTGTTAAAGTTGCAGATGTGACACACGTTTCATATTAAAGTTTCATGATGTTACTCTTCTCCCTGGAATAAATTAATTTGTTCAATTTCTTTACCAGTTTATACCTGATTTTCAGTCTCCAGTATTACTTTCAATCTACCTTCCTTTTCTAAAACTGTATAGCTCTCTTAGATATCATTTGCCAATTGGAAAATTTTTTCCCCATGAATACCAACAAGCAGATAATATACAACAAGACATGGGCAGCAAGAACATTTTTCACATTTTAAAAATAAAATTGACTACGGTACCCCCTTTGCCATGAGATGACATGCCTAGTAGTGTTGCCAGTCCAAATTCAGGCTAGTCTTGGACACATCCACTTGTCCTGTTATGATAAATACCCGGTGAGGCTATGGCATCATGAATAGTAGTAACCAGGCACTAGTACTTAGTTGTTAATTTACTCTTTTAGTGTCTCAGGTGTTTATCTTTAAAGACTTCAAAGGACTGACTGCAGCTGTTTATCAATAGAAAAATATACTGAATTTGGTAATTCCCCCAATTTTTTTTTTTTTTTTTTTTTGGTACCGGGAATTGAACTCAGGACTTGCACTTGCCAGGCAGGCACTATGCCGCTGAGCTATATCTCTAGCCCTAGTTCCTCAATTTTAAAATATAGAAACTTTAATTTTAAAAATTTGCCCGGTTCACATTCTAACTTAATGTTACTTGCTTATATTGCAAGTATTTTTAATCTCTTCCTTTTGACTTTTCTTGAGAACCAAATATCTTGTTATTGAAACTGAGTTTCTTTCTCTCTTCTCACTGTCTATTTCCAATCCTTCTCATTCTGATGTGAGAACAGGGTGATCTGGCTTTTCAAAAATATCCTAAATTGGTCTAGAGATGGAGTGAAGTGGTAAAAGGCTTGCCTAGAGTAGGTGGGACTCTGAGTTCAGTCCCAAGCTGTTCAAAAGAAAAGAAAAACTGTGACGGGGGAAAGAAGAAAGGAAGGAAAGGAAAAGGAAAAGTGTGTGTGTATATATACATATACATGAGATAGTTAAGATAGCCATACAGCTAGTTTCTCTTAGTTCATTGAAAAGAAAGGTTGTGCTAATATTGCTTGGGCACTATTCCATGCCCATATCTTATGCTCTGAGTAATTACTATCAAGATAACAACACACAACGTATTAATTACTGTTACTCTCCTATTAGCCTGTTTTGAGAATCTGTTCTATTTTTATTTTTTTCTCTTTAAAATAATAATTTGAAAAAGGAAAAGAAGAAAAAACACTATAAATACATTCTGTTTGTTTGTTTGCTTTTGTGGCACTGGGGATCGAATCCAGGGCCTTCGCATTGGGCTATGTTCCCATCCTTTGTGCACTGTTTATTCTGAGACAGGGTCTCACAAAGTCGCTAAGTTGTCCTAGCTGGGCTCAAACTTTCGATCCTCCTGCCTCGGCCTCCCAGAGCTGATTATAGGCCCACGCCACCACACCTGGCTTCTGTATGGCTTTTACAACGTAAAATTTTCTGACAATTTTGCATGTCTTGAGGGAGATGTAGCCAGCCTGCCGGGGTACAGAAAGTGAGGGGCACCACATTTTCCTTCTGCCCAGTCAGTGTTGCCAGCTGTGTAGCAAAGTATTGAAAACCTTAATCCCTAAAGCTGCACCCCCTCCACAGGGCTAGCTTCAAGAGGACGTTCATTCCACTATAAGTAGCAAAGTCTCCCTCCATTCAAATTTGTATCAATTGTATCTAATGCTTCTTATATAATAGTACATTTTTTAAAACTCAGCACCTAGTGGTATTAACAAAACAGAAATTTTTTTACGTGAAAAAAGCCAGAAAGGAGGCAACCTGGGGATATGGCCTCCTATTATTTTGACCTAAAACTGATGAGATTACCTCAAGACCCACAAGGCTGCTGAGCCCCTGCCATCACAACCACATTGCAGGAACCAAGAAGGAGACAAACAGGCTCCTACTGGTTAAATCAGTTGTGGGTTGTTATTGTTATTGTTTTGGGGAATCTTCTCAAAATTTCCACCCAACAGTTCTATTTACATCTCATTGGCTTATAAGCCAAAGAACTAGGATAGCCCGAAAAGACACTAAGAATTCACCTTTAATCCAAAGAGAGATATTCTCACAAATTCAGGGTGCCCTTACCAAGGAAGGAGGAGAGAACATCCAAAGCAAATGCTAGCCCAGCCTCAATGCTCTTTGGGATTTTCTTTATAATAGCAAGATATCAAAATACCTAAATAGCTTGGAGAGTACACGGTTGAAGAAACTGCAGAGTACTACCCTGATATTTAAAATATTCATGTAGACTACTCTTTGCTGGTGTGGTAAGTTAGCCATGACACAATTTTAACTGAAAAAATAAATCCAGCATCTACACAAGGATCCCATATGTAAAGTCATATGTCTCCAAAGACATTTGTTAAATGGTAGCGGTATTTAGGTAACTTCTGGGGTTGGTGAGTTTTGTGTAACATTACTTTCCTGTGTCTTCCAATTTTTACAGTCAGCACTGTATTCAAGTGGTTACTATGAAAACGAAAAGGTGCTGAACGAAATCATCTACAATAACTCAGAAAAGCCATCTGAAAACCTAGTCTGCAGTCGGTCATCAACCATGGGTTTTTATGCTGCCCTGTGGCAGCAATTTTACAGCATGAATATTACAAGGTGCATGTTTACTAATTTTCAGTAACAATGGACAAAAGAATAGCAAGGACTTTTTTTTATTAAATCCTTGCTTTCATTTTTGTCTTAGACTGGTGGGGTAAGTTTTTGCAAAGTTAAACCAGCACGATTCTGAGCTCACTTCAGAATGAGGGGTTCACGCAGCCCCAGCTCTGCAGAGCAGAAACTGTCATCTGTGCAGCCTGAGGCACCTGCGGCCGCTCCAGCCACCAGGTTGCTACTTCAAAGCGCAACCGAGACGGGGACGGCAGGTGGTTTCAGAAGGAAGACAAAGTCCCTAACCCAGACGTCACCGTGAAAAAGCAGCCGTAATCTCTAACCTCACTTTCTTGGGTGGGTGAACCGTAATTTATCCTGTAAATTATATTGTAGTGAAGGATTTTTAAAACTAGATGATGACTTTCTTAAAGTACCAGTTTGAAGAAGTGCGCTAATTCCAAACAGCTGAGAATGCACGATTTTCAACTCCTTGCACAAAGAGAGAAATCCTAAAAGAGGAAGAAAAAATATCTTTCTGACTTCATGAAAGCAAAATCGTAGCCTGGTTAGGAGACAGTTGCTGCACACGTACGTGCATGAACAACGCTGTCATCCGCTTTGAAATGACATCTGTCCCAACTTCCACTCTCACAGGTGGGGGAAAGCCCGGTAAGCGTTGGAGACTCCTTAGTTGCGGTTGGGTTTCCTCAGACCTCAGCTGAATTAAACACTGAAGGACCCTCGACCTCCCTTTGGCTTGGGGCTCCTGCTTAGCACCTGGAAAAGCTCAGATTACTGTGGTAACCAAGGCAAACCCTTTTTCAGTGCTGAAAGGGGAGATTGGTGCTTCTGGGCTTGTGACAGTGTGGCTGAATTGCGGTTTCTTTCACCGAAGAGGTGGGCTTCTTGTTTTTCTGTTAGACGCCAAGGATTTGGTGGGAACGTGTACTAGTGAGCTTTGTGTGGTGCCCCATGGACATAGGTTTGTCTCCCCACATCTGTGTGTTCCCTGTGCCATCTGCGAGTTTGTCTACAGGAGGAGAGCCTTTGAGTCGGTGCTCAGGACGCCATTGTCAATGACTTTGGAAACATGCACTCCTTTTCCTGTGGACACAGATCCACCCGCGAACCCCTTCGGGATCAGCAGACAACATGGATGTCGCTAGTGGCTTCGGCCACCATGCCGGGACCTCCTCCGAGTGACTTCAGTGTCTCTGCCTTTCCATCTTAGAGTGCTCTAGGCTTTCAGTATGACCCTGGCATGTTGACGTAGGACTCACTTGAAACTCTCTTACAGAGCACTCTGGGTTTTGTTCTCGTTATAAGTAACAACTGACGGCGTTTTCTCCCCTGCTTTCAGCTCTGTGAGTGCCGTGTCTTACATGGATGAGCCGAGCCTGCAGGACGAGCTCGCGCGTCTCTCCGTGGGAGTGGAGAACACCTACCAGCTGGGTGTGTTCCTTTCCCGCTCCCTCTAACGTGGTGACTGACGTCTCCTCGCCATGGTGTCCGATAGCTTGCCGCATTCTCAGCTCTCACATAAGGACCTTCATTAAGCGAGAGACTTGAGGCTTCTTTATTTCCTTTCCCTGTTGAATGGGAGCAACACCCATTGCCTGCTTTTTGTATCAGTGTCTCCTAAATACGGAGCAAATGGCTGGGCGGCATAGTTGTGCGTGCTGGATGACTGAATTAGGGGCTCGGTGTGTAGTTCTGGGTGAGTTCCTACATATAAACATAGGTCTGCATGCAGTGAAAGAGATACGTGTTGGTGTTTTATCCAACAAAACACCTCATGTTGTTGGAAGGAAAACCCTCAAGGCGGGGGTAAAGAATTTGCGGTCCCTGTCGACAGGGGTGTTGATCTATTATCGCTGAGGTTTCGGGTCTTTGAAAGCAAGGCCCTCTGCACCTGTCCCTGCGGTCCCAGGTGGAGCCTGTGGCAAATACCTTTCCCATTCATGATCTTCCTACGCCCACCTGTTTTCTCTCGGGGTGCACCTGCCTGCTATTATCTGAATTTATGTATAATCACTGCTGTGCAGAAATTCCGTAGAGATTTGCAGGGAGCGAGGGAGCCCCTGTGGGCCAGGGTGTTCCTGTCTGTGGCCGGTTCACCCCGAGGAAATTATAAACCACCAGCCCAGTCTATTAGGCCTTAGAGCCATTTTTCCACAACAATCCCAAACTTCCTGGACTACAAGGCTCAAAATGAGTGTCCTGGCACTCTCAGGGTGCTCGTGGCAGAGCGCTATTTCTAGCATACAAAATAGTTTTCTATTCTTTTGGTAGCCGTGGCCCATTTCCTCTGGAGCTTTTTTTTACCAACAGCACTTTCATAACTTTCGGTGCATAAATTTGTACCAGAGCTGACTTGGCTTTGCAGACGGAGCAGGACCAATTCTGTTTGTTTGGTTTTTGTTCGTTCGTTTGTTTTTCTTCCAGTACCAGGAATCGAACTCACAACCTTGTGCTTGCCCGGCAAGTGCTTTGCCGCTGAGCTAAATCCCTAGCCCCAAGCAGGACCAGTTCTGCAATGGCAAATAACCCAGGCCGATCCGATCAAACACGCAGAGAGTAAACTCAGGAAATATCTGACAGTTGGAAATGCAGACATGACCATGGAAACCAGACAAATGAAGGGACTATGACAACTTCTGTCATCCTGTCCCCAACATCGAGTCTGAAATGGAGAAAAACAGCCAAACCCTGGCATCATCATTTGAGTCCTAAGTGCAGCTGGCTTCGATTCTCCAGTTAGGAGTGACGTTTGGGTCACCTTTTCCCCGACTTGAGACTGAAAGGTCTTAATCGCTGGGGGCCTCTGACTCCGAGTCAGATTTCAGCAAAACCACGGGGTTAAAATGTGGGTCCCTGTGTTTCCCCTACATAAAGCTATCTTTTCACAATCTACTCCTTCAAATAAGTAAGCTGAATTGTCTTGTCAGTTTTAGTAGAGTGTTGGACCAAGTTAGAAAAGTAATTTTTAAAAAATAGCATAGTGTCGATCAAATATTTCCATATTTTCTTATAAAAATCTGTGTGAACACTTTCCTCATGATTGAAGTCAATTGTGCCCAGCGATCCACTTTTCAGAGCACTGGGCTAACCATTTTATTCATAGCCATAATTGCATTTCTGCTTCCACTTATTGCTGGGTTTTTCTTGCATGTGAAAGTTATTCAGTAAAGATTGACATCATGTAACATTGGCCAGAAGAGTCGGGGGGGGGGGGGTCACCAGAACTATTATGTTTAATTAATTTTTCATTCTAGCCCGTAATGTTTGCATTACCTGAACACACCTTAAGTGTGTGCCATGTTTGTCCTTCCTTTCAGTAATTATAGCTTCCAAAAATGAGGTGAAATCTGAGCAAAATTCATGAGGGAGAAAGGGAAATGGGAAAAGCAAATATATTTCTTTTAATTAAACACCGTTTTTGTTTTCTCACTAATTACTGAAACAAGAGTGGAGGAAAACACAGACTGTGAGATCGGCTGTATCTGAACTGAGTTCTAGCTTTGGTAATGTCTCGGGAAATGAGTTGTGAGCACGGTGCCCAGCGCCTGCGGATCTTCTCTCACCGGTACGTAGGGATGCCCGTCCGCTTGTCCAAGGGATGCTGTAAGAAACGTGTGTCCGTTGCTTCTCATCCACTGTTACTGCTCCTGGAGCTGCCGGGCTCTGAAGCTGCCACACGCCACCAAGAATAAATGTCTCCCTGACCGTCAGCACAGTGCCCTATTAATTATGGAGTGAGTTTGCCACAGGACTTCTTCTGGGGCTGTGATTCAAGCAGTGACTAATTCTATTTTTAAAAAAACTGATAGTGATATCAGATCAGAGGAGTGCTCTGGGTGCCACCCTGGGACTGCCTGCCAAGCACGAAGCCTGCATGATGGGAGGAGATCCTAAGCATGGAGAGCAGAGGGCGAGACCACCTGAGCTCAGCCTCCGTGTGGGGCTCAGGCTCCGCCTGAGGTGTCAGGTTTTGGGGTGGGACCGGAGCCCCCCCAGTCTCTTTGCCGATGTCTTTCTCCATGCTGCATCCTTCTCATCCCACCCTCTCCCGTCCCTTCCTGCGAAGCACAAGAGCAGCAACACCACCAGTAAGGACAAAGACCTATGAGTGCCTCCGCGTGTGGAAGGAACTGCTTAAACATTTTTAACATTTTATCTCATTGACTCCTAGCCACAAAATAATATGCTGTAATTCTTAGTACCCCAGTGTGGGGAGTTCGGCCACAGATACGTGAAGTGATTTCTCTTTTGCTATATTCCCTCGTAAATCTACTTTTAATTTTTTTCTGGGTCTTCAGGTCTTTGCCTTTTGATTTCTAGAACTTTTTTTTCTTTTTTTTAATTTAAGAAATCAAAGAAGGAAAACATATTAACAAACAGACATCCATTTACAAAATAGCATAAGAACAATACAAACAAAACAGAGTTACAGACAAAGTTGTAGCAAATTAACAATGGTTGTTGTATTACTTATTGATATCTTCAAAGTGCTTTCTCAAGAAAATAAATAGAGACATACAAGATTGATCAAACAAGTAATCGTCAACTGTTCCTTTCTGTGGAGCAATAGAAGACAGTAGTACTACGTTAGCTATCTTATATATACATACTTACATAATTTCCCCTTCTTTCCCTTCTCTTTTCCCACACCACAGTTGCCCTTTACTTTTGAGCATTTTCCTTTCCTTTCACAATGTCTATCATACCTCCTAGTTTTTATTCACTCTTTCAGGTCTTACACTAGTGAGACAATACGATGCTTACACATGCAGGTCTGATTTATTTCACTTATGAGTATAGTCTCTCGTTGTGACCATTTACACATAAAAGCCTCAGTTTGTTTATCTTTATAGCTGAGTAATATTCCATTATATAAAAGTACCACAATTTTTTTATCCAGTCCTCAGTGGATGGACATTTGGGTTGCTTCCACAGTTTAGCAATTACAAATTGTGCTGCTATGAACATAGGTGCACATATATCGCTGTGATATGATGTTTTTAGATCTTCTGGGAAAATACCCAGAAGGGGAATAGCTGGGTTGAATGGGACCTCTAGACCTAGTTTGCTGAGGAATCTCCCCAGTGATTTCCACAGTGGTTTCACCAGTCTGCATTCCCACCAGCAGTGGAGAAGAGTTCGTATTTCTCCACAGCCTTGCCAGCATTTGTTATTGGTTGATTTCTTAATAATAGCCTTTCTTACTGGGATGAGATGAAATCTCAATGTTGTTTTAATTTGCATTTCTTGAATGACTAATGATGTTGAACACTTTCTTATGTATTTATTTGCCATTTGCATTTCTTTATCTGAGAAGTGTGTATTCATCTTAGCTGTCCTTTGTTTTGTTTTGTTTTGTTTTGTTTTGTTTTTTTGTTTTTCCCTGGTACCGGGAACCGAACTCACAACCTTGCGCTTGCCGGGCAGGCGCTTTGCTGCTGAGCTAAATCCCCAGCCCCTTCAGCTGTCCACTTTTGGACTGGGTCTTTGAATTGGGGTGGGGGGCGCTGGTGTTTTTTAATTCTTTATATGTAGAACATGTTTTCTTCCCAAGGAAAAACTATTTCAAAAAATAATATTACAAAAAGAATATAGCTGTTCATCTGGTGAGCGCTGAGAGTAGCTTGGGGAGCTTCTGTCTGTGGGGAATGAGAAGCTGAAGGTTAACTCTTCCCTTCCCTTTGTGCCTCAGCACCCCAGTCTGAGCAAGGCCGTGGGTGATTCTGCATGTACAGGGCAAAGATCACAACAAAGTGAGGAAAAAAATTTATTTTTTTATTTCAAAAATTTTCCAAAATATGATCTGGTTACTGAGATTTTTAGAAAGCAACTAAGCAAAGTGCTGAAAGGACATTGGCATGCCTGGCGGTGGGAACTACTGGGCAGGGGGCCCCGTGTGCCAAGGGTTCCCCCGGCACAGGCCTGTGTGTGGGCTCCACCTCTCACAGGGCCTGGCTTCCTCCCACCGTGGAAAACATGGCTGCCGGCATGCCTGAGGGTCATAGGTCAGAAGGTTGCTATAGAAAAAGCCTGACTCATTCCCTTCCTGTCTCCCTTTAAAATAAAAATTCCAAGAAACAACTAAATTGCCTAGCCTGGGGAAGTGTCTCCCCTGAGTCAGTCAGTCTGCCCTAGACTTGGGCTCACAGGAGGGAGGGGTAGGTCCCAAAGAGCCACAGATTAGAGGAAGAAGAGGGTTTGTTCCCAGAAGGGGACGTGCAGTTCCAGGAGGGAGGGAGGTGCACCGGGCAGACACAATATGAGCCATCTTCAGAGGGCACGATGCGCCCAAGGAGTGTGGTGCCAGGGAGAGCCAAGGCCCGGGGGAAGGATGCTGGTCAGCTTAGGGCCCGTGGCCTGAGTCTTGGGGACCCAGGGACAGAGAGGGCCTGAGTCTAAGGGACCTAATATGCTTCGTTTAGCCTGGGCCAAGGGGATCATTTCTAAACATCTTCCACAGAAAAGGGGAAATCACCTTTGAGTGTGGCTGCATCTCACAGGAGTATGAAATCAAAACTGAGAGACCCACAGGATGATGATACAGAGCCTGTGCGTCCCCAGGGTGTGCTCACAGGCCCCATCCTCTCTGACCCCCAGGGGCAGGCACGAGCAGGACCAACTGCTCAACCCTTGCACAGTATCTCCCCGACGTGTCCGCTCCCATTCCCCAACAGAACGGAGCAACTCCTGTGCTGTCATCACCATAACAGCACTATTGAGCCTCAGAGGCCGACCCAGCTAGACCCCGCCCCAGGCTGAGCCTCCTGCTGGGCTCGTCCTGTGAAGCCCCAGCAGAGGCAGGGGGAGCGTGGGGCCCGGCCGGACCTCCAGGAAGCCCGCTCCACATAGCTCTGCCGGGATCTCGGAAGAGCTCTGTCCTGGATTCTGAGACCAGGAGTGGGGTGTGGTCACCCCCAAGTCCACTAGCCCAGAGGGACGGTGCTATCCTCTGGGATTTCCTCCCTCCTCAGACCTCCCCGAGGGGACCACTCATTAAAGCCTGCAATTTTCCTAACTTCAGTGTGTCATGTATTTCTGTAGACACGGCCTGAAATAAAGTTCAAAAACTAAAAAAAAAATCAATATTTCTTAATAGATACTGATGACTATGCAGAGAGAATTCAATATAATTTCTTTTTCTTTTGGGTAATACTTAGAGGTGAACTCAAGATGTTCACATGAGCTATATCCCGAGCCTTTTATTGTTATTTTGAGGCAGGGCCTTGCTTAGTTACTCAGACTGGCTAATAACCCTCCTGCCTCAGCCTCCCAAGCTACTGGGATTCTAGGCACGTACCACCATGACCAGCTGGGTATAATAATTCCTGATCTCATTCCTTGGTCTTTATCCGTTCAACATTCAAGGCCGAGCCTGGTACACGTGTGCACTGTACAGTGACACACACAGATACCCAGAGGGCTGACACAGTTACAATTTGAGGATGGAGAGTAAGCAAGTTCCTGTGAAGATTTGACCCCAGGCTGCAGCGAACATGGCTGAGAATGTAAACTTTAAACTGCAGGGCCAGGTGACTCTGCGTGTCCATCTCAGCCCTGCCACTGAGTGGCTCCGAGCCGGTCACCCCAAGTCTCAAAAGCTGTTTCCCTCCTGTGAAAGACTGCACACGGTAAATACGTGTGAAGTGTTTATTACGATGGCTGACATGTGAGAAATGATTGGCAAAGGGGGGCCAATGTGCGTGCGATGATCATTATCTACAAAATGCCTAATTCTGTGCGGCACAGGTCTGTCATCACAGCACTCTGGAAGGCTGAGGCAGGAGCATCATAAATTGTAGTCCAGCCTAGGTAATTTAGCCAACTAGTGAGATTCTGCCTAAAAAATAAATTTAGAAAGGAGCTAGGGGAGTAGTTCATTGCAAAAGCCCTGGCTTCAGCCCTCAGTACTGCCGGGAAGAAAAAAGTTCTACTTAGATTCAGAAGTGATCATCACACGTTTCTTACGCCCATCGCCTTGACTGGGGAAGAAGCGCAGAGATGCTGCAGCTGTGATCAAGCAGATTAGCGGCCAGGACAGCGAGCACCCCAGGACTGCGGAGAACAGGGTGCTTTGCACTTGGGGGTGGGGGGAGGCTAACTGAAAAGGAAGACATTGGAGCTGGATTTGCAACAAGATTTCAAGATGGGCCACAAAGCCGCCCTTCAGAGCCAGAGCCAGAGCAGAGCCCCAGGAGCACTTCCCAGGACAGAGCGGCCGGCGGGTGCTGGAGGAGGAGCCCGCGGGCCCAGGCCCCAAGTGAGCGACCAGGCTGCAGGGTGGTGGACTAACGGGGGAGCAGGAGCCAAGCACAGGCACCCGGTAGGTGCCAGCAGTCACTGACAGTGTGGCCAGGAGGAAGACTCAGGGTGCCAGGCCTTTTAAGGAGTCTGGGGGTGCGACAGTCTGTTGGCTTCCTGCCTTCTCTCAGAGAGCCTGACTCCACACCTAACTAGGATCCCTTTCTGCCTTAACCGGAGACCACCCAGACAACCAGGTGACTCAAGATCTCTTTGGGTTTCAATATTCATTTGAAGAGCTTAGATAGTCCAACCTGCGTAGATACAGACAGATACAATCTGAAATTACTTATTTTTATGGCAGCACTGAGGACTGAACACAGAACCTCTCACATGCTAGGCAAGCACTCTACCAGTGAGCTTCGTCCCAGCGATTGATTGATTGATTGGGCTAAGTTGCCCAATCTGGCCTTGAACTTGAGATTCTCCTGCCTCAGCCTCCTGAGTATGCAATTATTTCTTAAAAAGAAATTCTATTTATATTTTCAGGTCCTACCAAACGTTTTCCTGTGGTCACTGTCAATCATATTTTGAAAGACGTGTTAACAAACTATCTACAAGAGAAAAAATATGAACCAGAATTCTGCAAGCAGATGACTAAAACTATTTCTGAGGTATGCGTGAGACTGACCCAAAGTTGTAGCTACACTGCAGTACTTGCTAGAAGCACAGCTCACGTGCTACTTTTTGTTGAAAGGATTTATTTTTGGTAGTAGTTAAAAGGCATATTTATATTTTATTAAAATACCTACTAGCTCGGATGCTGCACATGTGTGTATAGCAAGCCTTTGTCTAGAACAAGTATGTGTATTCTTTAACAAAGACGTAGAAAACTGACCACTTCTACCAATTTTTATTGCAAAAGATTCAATATTTTAATGATCATTTTCTCTCCATGGCAACTTCTTTGAGCACCATTAGATACAAACACAGTCTTTAAATACATTTCTAGTTTTATCAAATATAGTGCTGCCACTTTCTCATAGTTTCCTGTACCTTTGCTTTCGTAACAAACTCTTTAATAAACACTGCCAATTAGTCATATTACAGGAGATTCAGATTATGTTTCCTTCCTTAGTCATGGACAGGATAGTCCAAATCTCCCGCCATGAGGAGAAGTGATGTTAACAGAGTTTTCAGAGGATGTAATAACCTATTAAATTCTCTGCTCTAGATTACAATTTTTCCCTGTGTTTAGAAAATGCACATTTATTGCTGGTGTTATCATTCTGTCCATGAATGTCCTATCGAACGCGGACGGTACTTACAGGAAATCGTGGTCACAGCTCTGCAACAGTTACTGAAAATAATGCATCATGCTATTTCCTTAAATTATACCCACTCCATTGGTGACAAAAGTTGAGATTTTTGAGTTTCAGTGTTTGTATGTAGTGGTTCTCACCCCCCCCCTTTTTTTTTTTGATTTCTAGGTTATTAAGGCCCAGGTCAAGGAATTAATGATCCCACGGTATAAACTAATTGTGGTCACTCACATTGGACAACTGAAGGATCAGAGCTTGTTTATTGGAAGCAGATGCCTCTGGGATCCTAAAAACGATACTGTTTCATCCTATGTTTTTAGAAATTCTTCTCTCTTTGCTCTTGCCAATGTCTATGCAATTTACTTTGAGTGACTGAAAAGAAGAAATGTAGTTCTTGCTTTATGTTCACAAAAACATTACTGCCAAAAACTTTGAGAAAGAAACAAGACTAACATTTTTAACAAACAGAAGCTTTCAGAATTTTTAGGGCTGGGCATGGTGGTGCACACCTGTAATCCCAGCACTCGGGAGGCTGAGGCAGGAGGATTGTTGCAAGTTCAAAGGCCAGCCTGGGCTACAAAGTGAGCTCAAGGCCACCCTGAACTGCATAGCAAGACCTTGTCTCAAAAAGACCAAAGAAACCCAGAATTTTTAATACTCTGAGAATTGGGGATGGGGTGAGTAGCCCAAGACAGATTCTCCTTGGTCCAGTGCAGGAACTAAGTCGCGGTTCTGCTAGATTGCTTTTCAAAAGTATAGATTCTTATTAAACATTACTTTGAGTATTGATTATTTTAACTACTCTTTAATTAGAGAGTCAGAATTTCCAGCATTACTTTTTTTTGATAAAGAGAAGCTTTAGAAATATATGGCTATAGCCAGGCATACTGGCACATGCCTGTAATCCCAGCACTCGGGAAACTGAGGCAGGAGGATCGTTGCAAGTTTGAGACCAGCCTGGGCTACAAAGTGAGCTGAAGGCCAGTCTGAACTGTATAGCAAGACCCTGTCTCCAGAAGACAAAAAAAAAAAAAAGAAAAGAAAAAGAAAAAGAAGAAGAAGAAATATATGGCTATATATCCTGACCCAATAAATGAGAGTAGAATATTCAACATGGAATACACTAATGATCGATGTTAATATGGCTCAGTGCTGCATATAAAAGAATTCTGGTTTTCATTTTGCACTTAATAAATTGAGCAGCATTCATTAACTGCAATTACTGTTACATGTACCTGACAGTTGGAACTGCTGAGGTAGAATTAATGACTTCATAACAATTACCCTGGTCCCGCGAGACCACAAGCTAAAACTAGAAGCTCTTGTGGGGTGAGTGCACTTTACAAAATTGCGAGAGAGCTGCACATTGGCTCTTCAATAATGGAAACTATAAAGTGAACAGAGGCTTTTTAGAACAACGAAGTGGATGATGTTCTATTAAATATACATGATGCTTCATAGTAAATGTATCTGTAACACATAAAATGCTGCATTAGAATGGGGCACTACTTTAAAACATACACCGCCTGATGTGCCTGTGAAGAGCTTGTCCTAGGTTAATGAACTTTTACACAAAATGTATAGCTGGCCGCTTAGCAAATAAAACACGTGTATTTACCATTTTGTTTCTATGTATTTAATACTAAAGTGACCCGGTATGGTTTTGAAGGGATAGGCATTAAAATTTACAGGGCTGGAATAGCTTACTATTCTGCTGGTTAATGCATCGAGTGCCATGGGTCGTTTATTTTTATGGCGCTTGCAGCCTTTGTGTGTATGTAAAACGATGCTGCGATGTGGTTCTTCCTCAGAAAGCCGCCGGCTCGGGGATGTGTGTTAAAGGTCAAAGACAAATTGTCCACAGATGGGGAAAATTAGCAATGTTATGGTCTTAAGGAAAAAATGTTGTGTAATTCATGTCAAAAAGAATTTAACAAGCAGAAGAACCAGCCAATGGCTTAGAATTTAAAAAAACAAAAAACGCATACTTTGTCCCTGTCCGTCTTGTTTTTTGGCTTATAAAGTCCCTTTTCAAAGTGATTTTGTCAATTTTGTTCTTTGCTTTTCTGTGAGTGCGTTAGTGGGAGCGTACCTGCGCGGTAGTTTGTCACGGCCAGTTTTGAACCTGGGTTCGATTGCAAGCAGAGTGGGTAACTGAGCTCACATTTCCATCGCACGTGTGGACATCTCCCTTCTTGAAGCCGAAGCAGGGGCAGTCACATAGCGACTTTGCTTGAATAAATCGGAAGGAAGAGACTTCCTGGTACGCAGAAAGTCATCATAAAAATGACTTTTTAAAAGAATCCTGGAGTCTAACCCATGAAATAATTTCTTACCATCCAGCCTAAATTCTGTTGGAGGTCAAAGCCTTAACACAATGACCCTTAAGGAGCAGAAGACGAAGCCACTTGCCGGGGTGGTGTCACACACTGCAGTTCCGAAGCACCCGGTGGCCAGCGCTAGCGCTTAGGCGGCAGCGGCGGACAGTAGCGCAGCAGCTCTCTTGCTGCAGACTGATTTAGGAGTTACTGCAGTTACTGCACAGCACCTCAGGGTGGGAAAATGTAAGGAAATTACACTGTAAATCTGAAGGAGTTGTCTACTTTGGAGCACCCTGAGAGCGCCTGGCGTTCTCTCCTCTCGGTGGGTTTCCCAGAGGGCCGCTCCTTCTCTGAGGGCAGCTCAGCCCCGTCCCTCTCCTCTCCAGCCCTCCCCAGCCGCTCTGCCCTCTGCTCTTCTTCTCCAGTTCTTCTCCGGCTGATTTTCCAGGGTGGGTTAATTTCCTCTACTGGACTCAACCCCCAATGTGGGTTACTTCCTCTAGGTGAAAGCCCCAACATGGGTTTCCTTCTTGTACTAGATAGAAACGTTGAGGGCATGGACCTGACCCAAACCCTGACAGCTCCCAGCAATAAAATTGAATCGGTCTCTGCTTTTAAAGCAAGAAGTTAGTGCAAGGTGCTGCACTCCCTACCCCGCTGCTGCACAGAAAGTAGCTCACCCTCAAGGAATTGTACAGGAACTAGAGCCAAAGCCTGCAAGAGACACAGCACGGGCGGAATATGTTTGCACAGGAAAAGCCCAGAGTATCTGTGTCTGGTTAAGGGGATTATGGGGCGATCTATGGCAAAGCAGCGACCTAATCCCAACTGTGAAGGAGACCTGTAGATTCCAGCAGGCAGCCGTCCGGGAAGGCGTCCAGGAGGGAGGAAACTCCACGTGCACGAAGGGCTCAGAACAACGATCAGAAGGGTGCGCAGTGACCGGGTAGGAAAACCGCACTCAGACCACAGTCACGGGGGTTTGCTGAGTGAGCGGTGTCCGTGGAGCGACTCTCGAGGAAGAACGTGCTGAGCACCGGCCGGAAGACCGTGCGGGGTGGAAGGGAAAGGCTGAGCTGAGCAGAGGCGTGGCAAATGGGAACTGGCAGTCGGATGGGGCCTTCTAGGGACAAGGCCACGATGAGGCAGAGGAAAGGAGGAGTCGGGGAGCAGCTAAGACGATCTCACAAGGAGGTTGAAAGTTCAAAGCACGCTTGGGTGTGAATCCTGCTGTCCCGCGAGCAGTTCGGCGATCTTAAATTATTAACCTAAACTGCAGCTTCCCTGTGGTAAAGTAACGGTGATACTGATGCCCCCTGCAGAGAATTTTGGAGGATGAAACACTTGTTTGCTGAACTCTTACCAGCATAATCCGGGCGGAAAGCCCTTGATAAGTAGTAGTCCCTATGACTGCAGTCGAAAGTTTGGGTGTGGGTGACTAGATCCATGGTTCTGTTAGCAAAAATAAGGATGTCAGCGGGAAGGGGCGGAGAAGGGAGATGCTGAAGCTTGATCTTGTGGCCAAGTTGAAGTTGAGACGTCGGAGAGAGCCTCAAGCAGCCACAGTGGGGTCCGGCGCTGAGCAAGCACATCAAGGTAAGAGGTGCGGAACTGGCGGCCTTCCAGGTGAAGGCCCAACACCTCTTCCTGCTTTATACGATACTCATTAGCCAAATCTTCAGCAAGTGTGTCCGTGCTGATAGCAAAGTACTGAAAATTCAGTGAGTCTTGGGAACGTCAGCCAGAAATGCTCCCCACAAACCAGCGGAGAATAATTCCCTCCAAACCCAAACCAAAGGATGCCTTTCCTTTGCTTCTTCATTAAAAAAAAATTCTGCATGATCCTCTTGTCAGATGTGTTCACATCCCCGACGGAAATATTAATGCTGCTGTTGTTGATCAAATGACTTCAAGAAAATCTGTAATAGGAGCAACCTTATCACAGAATCCACTACATTATGTGTGTGGAAATTAAATGCTAGCTCAGTTCATTCATTTTGAAGAACTCTTGAATAAATCATCTAGTACATGGGAGTAATTTTAAGAGACAACAGTTGAGAAATTAGGACTTTAAGATCTAAGCCATCTTGGAGAGATCGTCGTTGGGTCTATCTTTCTAGACACTACCCAGAAGTGCATCGGCAAAACTGTACGTTAAATAGTCACTGATATTTACTGCGCCTTTTTGCTCTCGAGATGTTTGCGATCCTCCTTCCCTGCCGCTGCGCTGCTTTCGCAAACCGTGCAGCTGTCTGCACAAGCTCATGTGCGAGGCGTTCCTTCTCAGCGGTGTTTTTCCCCAGCACTGCCCTGAATTCATTTCCTTTGAGCAGCAGGGTAACACAGCAGTTGGGGTTTGCTTGCTTGTTTGTAAGCATAGGGTTGAAGACAATCCTGCCCTCCGGCTCCCAGCTCGTCCCAGCAGTGTGCGGCCTGGGAAACCGGCTGGTGCCTTTGGTCCCTCCCGTCAAGGCGTATGTGATTCTAGCTGTTGTCACTACGCGGCTTCTTGGAAGAAGACCAAAGGGGAGTGGGCAGAAAAGGCTTCACCCGCCACAGAAGCTCGCTCTCCACCTCTAATTTCTACAGAGCCTTCTGCCTAAAGAAAGGAGCGGTTATCTTTGCCATTTCTACATTTACCACCACGATGTCCCCTGTTAGGTTACATTTTTTCCCTCTGCAGAGTCATGTCATGTGCTGCCGCCTTCTTTGGTTGACAGATGACTTCTTTTCGGGTCCACATGGAATGCAGTCTCACCCATCCCTCTGGCAGGCCTCTGCTGCTCTCGCCTCCTTGTACACATTCCCATTCAGAGGTGTGCGCTCACAGCAGGAGCTTCCTGGGCTGTTGTGATGACTTTGCCTGCTGCTCCCCTCTCTTTGCGGTCTCCGTGTCCCCTGGCATTTGGTTTTCTCTTCTTCATTTGCAGGAACACAAACCGCTGGAATTTTTCTTGAGACTTAAATCTGTCAGGCATCTGGTTAAAGTCTTCTACAATCACTTTTCAATTTCTTCCCTTGCCAGTTTCACTAGGATGCACATTTTCTTGTCTTTTCCTTTTCTTTCTTTTTTTCTTTTTGTACGATGTGATATAATTTGAAACTTGTCCAGGCTGTTTTCCTACCTAGTAAAGCAAGGAACCAGTGTAACCAGAATGGTGGCCCTGGCCTTCCCTTACAATGGGATCTACAAGCAAAGAGGAGGCTTCCCCAGACAGCCCATGACGCTGGGTCGTCCAGCCTGAGAGGACAGACAGTCAGCCTGAATTGCTGCGGGGGTGTTGGGAAACCATTTTCAAATTCATATGAGAAATACTAAACTTAGAGACCTGCTCCCTCTTGAAGCTGAACAAAAGTAGGCTGTATGCCATTGGCTAATTACACAAATTAATATATATTTATATTTCCCTCTACTACACTTTGGTAGAATTGCTAAAAGAATATTTCTTGAGAACATAGCTAATAGGTTGGGCGAATCCAGTTTAAAAGCACAAGTCAGAGTCATCTAAGGATTCACTCATTTAAAGAAGAAATGTTCCGACCCTGAACTTTCAGAGATGAGAGAAACAGGGACCACTTCCCAATTTTTTAAATGCAAAATATAAACAAGGTATTTATTGGAATAAAGCTTAAGAGAATCCTTGTACAGTCTTGCAGCCAGAGAGGTCTTCCTAAGCAAAACAGGAAACCCAGGAACCATAAAGGAAAAGATAGATATTGCGTGCCAGTAGTTATCTGAAATAAGGTAAATCAAGAATAGGAAAGAATGGGGGGGTACCTTACTCAGATAATACTCACAAAGTTAATATCCTTAATATAAAAAAGTTTTGAAGACTGACAGTGATTATAAATAAATAGGAAAATGAGCAAAGGGTATAAGCAAACTAAATTACAGAAGAGGAAATACAAGCCGCCAATGACTATAAAAGGTGATCACTCATAGTCAACATAATGCAAGCTAAGCCCCAAATGACAGTCGATGTTTCATCTATAAGAGTTGCCGATTTTGCAAATATAGTAGCATCACAGAGAGGTGACAATGTACAGAAGTCACCCCGCACGAATATCTGGAGGAAATGTAAATTCACACAGACTATTTAGATGGTAATGTCTTGATATGTCTTTAATGTAAAATACATATACTGAAATGTTATTGAAATGTCTTCACAATCTATTAAATAAAAGAACAATGACAGGTAGGACGCTATATATGGCCACTTATGCCATGAACTAGGACGACAGATTCAGTATATAGTATATAAGAGTAGTTAACACCTACACAGAAATGAATTTGAACAGAAAACAAGCTAAAGGGCTGTAGTTGTAGCTTGGTGGTAGAGCACTTGCCTCGCATGCACAAGGCCTTGGGTTCGATCCCCAGCACCAAGGAAAACAAGTTGAGAGAGAGAATGGGAGATTTTGCAGAAGCCTTGGAAGTGGTTCCTATCACTGCTTCTTGTTTAATTGGCTGTTACTCGGTCACGTGACCACACACAACCACAAAGGAGGCTGAGAAATGTAATCTCACTAGATGCCCAGGAGGAAGAGAAGTTTTGCTGGAGACCTGTAAGTCTACAAGAGAGACAGACAGACACAGAGAGAAAGAAATCTGTCTAGCTATATCTTGAGCTGTACTACATAAATTCAGTATAAACATGATTTTTGTTTCTGGCAGAAATAATACGAAACTCTTCCAATGAGTCATGTTGTCAGAGTAAGGCATTTTGTTTCTGAGTCTGGTAAAACTGTTAGGGTTTTCTAATCTTACACATATATTATCTTTTTTCCCCCCTAAAAAGTGGATACAGGATTTTTTTTCTTTCTTTTTTTCCTCCTTCCTTTTTTGGAGAGGGTTCTGAGTGTCAAACCTAGGGCCAGTCTACTACTGAGCTACATCTCCAGTCCCCTGCCTTTAAATTTTTAAGTCAGGGTCTTTTTTAGTCACCAACGCTGGCCTCAAACTCAAAATCTCCTGCCTCAGCCTCCCAAGTCATTAAGATTACAGGCGTGGGTCACCACTGCAAGCTAGGACTTCTTCAGAGTGATTAGATCTCACCTTTCTTTTTCCCCCTTATGTATAAACATTTATAATATCTAGTAAGTGTAAAGAAGATACAGAAATAATAGCACATACATACTTCTTTCCCCAGCAATGTGTATTAGATGGTATTAGATGGTGATTCCCCTATACACATGAAATACTCAGTAGATAAAGCTAAGTCAATGAAATTTAATCTTTGCATCTTATTTGTAATTGCAAATAGGGCAGACAATCTGAATATATATTGATGAGACTCCCAAGAATGGCACCAACACAAATTATAAAATGGCACTTCTCAAACAATTGGTCTCAGAAAACCCGTTACACTCTTAAAAATGATTAAGAACTTCAAAGAGCTTTTGTTCACGTAGGTTGAATCCATCAACGGTTTTCACCGTCAAACTTAAAACTGACACATTTTAAAATATTCACCCATTTGAAAGTAATACATCCACCAGTGGTAACACAAATAACATAGTTTATGAGAACTGTATTTTTACAAACCAAAAACGTTGAGCAGGGAGGGAAAATATTCTGCTATTCTCTGCAAGTCTCTGTGGCGGGCTGAGCGAAATACAGTTCAGTTCCCAAGCCAGCTTCTGCTTTCCATCCGCTGCTGCCTTGTTGTGTCGGTTGACACACAAAAAAGAAATCCCACTGCACATAACTACGAAGCTGGGAAAGAGTATTTCAGTGACCTTTTCAGATAATGTTGGCTTCTTTTTATAATTCTATATCAAAACTCCACATGTGGATTTTTATGAAAAGTTGCAGTGTAGATTCCGAAACCATATCAATGATTTTTTGTACTGTTAGATTAAACTGTTTGCACTTTGGATCTTTTACCCATTCGTGATTTTTAAATCATTTCAAAAATGCTGGTTCACTGAGATTTGCAGATCTCTCAAATGATGACACACTTTATTACACAATAGAAGGACCAGCTTCATTAACATCAGCACTGGTGCTCACAGGCATGGATAAAAATTAGCCATAATTGCCTGAAAGTTTGAATTTTATCATCTCAGCAATTACCATCAGTTCATTTCCTTAAAATGACAGGCTCATTTTTTTCACTTTCAAGTTGTTTCATTTAACTTAAAAACTAAAATCTAAATAAGATGGCTTTTCAGTCCTTCTTTAAAAACCTTATTGGAAAAAAGTAGTTAAGGGTCAGGGACATAGCTCAGCAGCACAAGCTCCTGCCTGGAAAAAAGTAGTTAATTTAAAGCTCAACAGCTCAACCACCCAAGGCCTATTGAGACAGTCATCCTTCAGTGTCCCTAAGGGGATTCCCTGCAGTCTTCGGGTGGCGTCACCCCTGAGCTGAAAGGACTCGCGCTCAAGGACTGAGATTTCTGTAATCAAGAACATTCATGGCGAAATTGTGTTTTTTACTTTGTTTTTAACTGAAAGTGCCTGGTAGTAAAGAAAAGCCTGACCACCGATGCGGACTGTTAAGACTGTCTTGACTCATGTGGGCCACTGTACGTCTGGTTCCAGTAAAACACCACCCACTTAGCTGTGCGACTTGGAACACGTACCTAATTCTACGGAGCCGGAGCCTTGGTTTCCCCGTCTGAGTACTGATGATAAAGCACTCGCCCATGCGCATAGATTTACTGCACAGTGGTGTGGAGGGAAGGTGAAATGCCAAGCACAGCACAGTGACACAGCACCTGCTAGGCATGCTCAGTACACACTGCAGAATGAACAAGTGCAGTCTGACCACTGCCACACTGGGGGAGCTGTCAGCGTGGGAAATGAAATCGCCCTTTTGTGATATTCTCCCTTTGTTTTTCACCTGGAAAGACATCCAACTGCATAGCAGTATCTTAGCTACGGGGTCTTGGTTTCTCAAGAATAAGAACACAATTTCCTTTTATGCTGCAGGACAGAGACAAAAATCAAGGGGACCAGAAGGAGCTCAGGACTCAGACACACTCTGAGTTCCCACCCTGCAGGGAAGTGATCGGACCCTGCGTGACCCCAGTTGTTCTGAAGTTCGAGCTATGCGTTAGGAAACCTGTGCCGAGCACTCTCGGGTCCTTTGAGAAAAACACTTCTGAGATTCCTACAGCTGACCACAAGCCAGTGTTTGAGTTTTCAGCAATATGCAGCACCCCTGGCGTTAAGAGTGAGTAGTCTCCTCTGGGTGATGAGAGAACAGCTGATTTTGCTTTCTTTGTAACGCATATGTTTTAGGTTTTCCCAAGATCAGCATTGTCTGTTTACTGCTGAGAAGTTATTTACACTTCTTTAAAGCAAACAAGTCACAGTGAGCTTGATTTAATTGTATCTTTATTGCAATTTTAAAACAGCTAGGATTTGAAAAGAGAGCATTCACCTCAGCAGTGGGAGAAGACAGGCTTCGCTGTGGTTTCAGCCATTCTAAGACATTTTAGGAAAGGACGGCCTGTTCCCCAGCCGTCCTTCAAGCGACAGAAGGGCTTGTAGAGTGTCAGCGAGGGCTAGAGCTGCCGTTCACTGTATCTGTCCTGTCTAACAGAGAGCGCTCAGCTCCGTCATGGAGCAGCCGGCAGTGCAGCACCGAGTTTGCAGATCTCTCCGCGACATCACCGAATGCCTCTTCTCCACAGGCATCTGTCCATCCCGAACATGCTCGTCTCCTGAGAAATCCACCTCCTCAAGGTTGTGCACTAGGTTTTCCTCAGAAGCCTCATGTCTGTTTGAAAGCTGGAAGTAGTTTCTTCTGTCAGCTGTAGGAAAAAGGAAAATATAATAACTGTACTACCTTCGAGACAAGGGTGGCAGCAGCCATGTTCTGCTCGTGGAGATGTGGATTAGATTTCTGAGGCTGAAGCAGGAGAATGGGAAGTTCTAGCCCAGCAGGGACAACTTAGCAAGACCCCGTCTCCAAACATAGGGTGGGGAAAGTGGCTGTAGCTCAGTGTGAAGGTCCTGGAGTACTAGGTAAGAACAGAAACTTGTGGAAGGTTTAATACACAGTGCGTTAGGATTTGAGAGGTGTTCCTGGTATAAACATACACAGTTCCAGGGTTTAAGTCCACCAACAGATACAAACCCATGACCATTCCAATGCTCCTTAGGTTTCAGAGCTATTTCACATGTTTTCCCCCCATGACATCTTGCTGCCATTATTCTAGGGATTGATATATACCCTGGTAAATTATGCTTACTCTCTTAAGATAAAAAAATATTATTTCTCTTAACCTATAATAATAGGTACCTCAATAGTAACGTGGTAGTAGCAGGTTCATATGTCAACACATTAGCCCACAAAAATATGAGCAGTGTGGGTCATTTTCTGTATTTTTTTTTCGTTGTGTTTTGTTTTTTGTTTTTTGTTTTTCTGGTACCAGGAACCGAACTCATGACCTTGCGCTTGCCAGGCAGGGGCTGTGCCGCTGAGCTAAATCCCCAGCCCTGGGGTCATTTTCTAAGTTATTTTGTTTAGCAAGTTCATTCTAAGCCAAATTGTGATCCTTACAATCATCTGTGCAGTTGTAATATGTATTATGTAATCCAGCTTTCAAATTCTTGATAAATTTAGCAAATATAATCATTTATTAAAGTAGAATCTTTGTAGAGACAGGTACGGAAAGATGAATCTGCATGACATGAGTCTTATGTGGAACCTCAAAAGCTGACCTCACAGAACAGGGGAACGGCGGCCACCTGGAGCTGGGGTGGGGCTCTGGGGCTGGTAGACTGTTGGCCAAAGAATATAAAATTTCCTGTTAAATAGGGCTACGTCTAAGAGGACTATTGTATGGCACAGTGAATGTAGTTAATAGCAATGCATTGTATTCTTGAAAACTGCCACCACAGTAGATGTTAACTGTTCTTACCAGAAAAAGTATGGGGGTGATGTGTATGGCACCTCGCTCAATTTTGCCATTCCACAATGCAGAGGACATTTAAAACACAACTGTATATGATAAATACACAATATGGTCAATGGAAAAAATAATAATAAATAGACTCTTACACTTTATATTGCATTAGGAGAAAGAAGGACAGTCAAACTGCTAAGTTACTTGAATTCAAACACTAACGCATGTGTAAACATCATATTGTCTCCCTCATGTAAGAACCTGAAAGCGTAAATAAAATCTGAACGATATAATAGATACGGTGAAAGGGAAAGAAACTGTTCAATAGGAAGGAATAACTGGGATGAGGGAAAGAAGAAAAGAAAGAAAGAAGGGAAAGTATATACACAAGACAGCTAAGATAATTGTACTACTAATTTCTGTTGGTTTATTGAAAGGAACAGTTCGTGTTTAATTGTTTGATCAATCTTGCATGCCTATGTCTGGTAATCTGAGCAACTATTCTGAAGATCACAATAAGTAATACAAGAACCATTGTAGATTTCCTACCATCTTGTTTTGAATTTCTGTATCATTTTTATAGTTTTTGTGTTATTTTGTTTTTGTCTTTGTTTTTATTATTTTGTTTCTCTTCTTTTCCTTTAAAATAAAGTAAATACATAAATAAAGCCATCGCATTACCGTGACCGAAACACACCAGACGCCTTCCTGCCGTGGAAACTGTGGTCAGACAAACCCTCCTGGTGGAATGCACACCCCACTTCACCCCCACGCCTCACGACTCCCCACATTTCACAGAGTCTTCGGGGTCTCAGTCCAACACCACCACCTCCACAGCACAGCACCCTCCTGTCCGCCTGGGCCTCCGCCCAGGAGCCTTGGGTTCGGGACCGGACAGCCTGGTTCGCTCCCACCACACTGCTGGCCAGTCGAGGGAGCAATTTCTCCTTGGCGAGATGGTAAACGGTGCTAACAGCACTTACTCGGCCAAGTCCTTCTCAGAAAGCTGCCCGTGGACCGCCTGGTCTTAGCAAACGTTCAACAGAAGTGGGATCCCTGCTCCCGTCCTTACCTGACACCCACCTGAACGCACCCTGCTGACCTCCACTGTCCACTGCCGCGCCCCTCTGCACCCCAGCACTTTCCCCCGGCCTGCGTGGTCCCAGCAGGCTACAGACCACGCTTGCCTCGCTCCAAAGCCAATTTCCATTTGGGTAACTTTTTTACCGTTTATTTTGACGCCCAAAGTTGATAGAGCAGCGGCTTCTCTTGCAGAGACAGATACTGGACAACCGTTTAAAGAGAGTTTTTTAGAAAAGAAAAGGGACTCGAGCGGGGGGAGCGCTGATGAGCAAAGTCACCTGGCAGAGCCGGGGGCGCCCCCTCCGCGTGCCTCCTCCAGCGGGCCGTGGCGCACATGTACACCACCGTCCTCACGTACTCCAGCCCGCAGAGCTTCACCGTGTCCGCGGCCCTCGCCTCGGCGGCGGCGACCAGGGCGGAGAGCAGACAGAGCGCGAGCACCGAGCCCTTCATGCTGCTGCGGCCTGGAGGGACCTGATGCTGTGCGCACAGCCCAGTCACTCTCCTGGCCAATTTATCCTAACTCTCCCGACGATTTATTGGTCAGCAAGGCCTTGGCACAGTGTTTACTAAGCACGAAGGTCACCCTGTGACGCGCTGATAATGCGCTTTTACGACCATGGCCCGCGAGGGCGGCCCCTCCGAGCACCATCACTGGTGGCTGGACCTGGACGATAAACAGCCCCCCTCTTGGGAGCCACCGGGCTGCCCAGAGCCGCCTATGAATTTCAGGCTCTGCTTTGCCCCTTACTCAGCGACATAGACCAAGTTTTAAACTCTCAGAACCTTAGGAACCACAGCTCCAGGCCGAGAAACCCCGTCTGAGCAAGGTTTGTCAAGGACTGAGAACGACGTCTATGTCAAGGCGTTGGGAGATCACACTCGTGCTCTGGGTTTGACCACCAGCGTAGCAATCCAGGATCTTACGCAAGCTGTTTAAGGATCCTTCTTTGTAAAAGTTGCCGACGATGGTAACTTCCTCCACGGAGCGAATGAGCTAGTATGAGTTCCGCGTGACACAATGTGCTGGCTTCTTCTCTCTCCCTCTGAACAGACTAGATGAGGGAGCGATAGCGTCTCTTCATGACTCAAGGGGGTTTCTCTAACTAGACTCTCCCTTTCTATCCCCCACCTATGACTAAGATTGCCCTTCTCAGCATACAGTTCTAATAGAAAGCCGGACCCGTAATTCCAAACAGCCAAATAACGAAATTTTTTGGTGAAAAATCTCTGAAAACCCATTTTTTGAAAAGCTCTTACCTAAACTAAGAATGCTGCATTTAGAATCTTAAAGAATGATTGATTTGCTTTTTAGCAAGTTAAATAAATGGCTGTTTATTCGATTCTGTACACCCTCATCTGTCATCTCCGGTTGAAAAAAAATCACTTCCAGTCTGTGGGCTGGGTCCTACGCCCACGCTCCTTGTGACACTGGATGCTGGTCTTAATTTGGCCTGGGATATATTCAGTGTCTCTAGATCTCAGTTTCTTCACTTGTAAAATGAACATGGTAACATTGACTTCATTAGGAGGGTAGTGTTAAGGATTAAATAATCCAAAGAGTCCTGATCAGAGAACTTTGAAGAGATTGATTATTAATGACAATTACAATGCTGATAATTCTACCAGTGTCTGGTGGCTTTGGGTTAGAATGCCAGAGTTTTAGTATTCATCTCCCTTCTAGCTAAGAGACCTGGAGAAAGAGTTTAACTTATAATTTGATTTTTTAATTTGTTGAAAAATACCGTAGGGTTAATAAGGTAATGTTAATTATGTCACTGGCAAGTTATACAGCGTATCCCATATAATTATTATATGGTGATTGAGATGACTGTATGTAAATTCATTAGCAGACACTAACTGGCTAATATTCACACCTCGTGCTGCCAGTGGGACTCTTCCCCGCGGCAGAACTGTTCATGCAACTGTTCCTGGAAGTCGTTCGCATCTCCTCACTGTCTCTCACTCCCCACTGATGAAGGCTTTTTCCATACACAAGCTTCCGTTAATTCACAAATCTCATCAGTTCCGCCATCTGAATTCCCCGTGCTCTGCCCCACTCTCCAGGCTCTACCGTGAGGACTTCCACTGGGCTTGCTGCAGTGGCCCCTCCGCTGACCTCATCGTCAATCCATTTTCCACACTGCTGCCCAGAAAGCTCGCTTAAGCACGTGATTATTACCCACCTTGAAAGCCCTCTAATAGTCTCCCATTTCCCTCAAAGGAAAAAAAATCCTTTAACCTAGTCCAGAAGATATAATCTGGCCTCTCTACCAACGAAGGTCCAGCTGGTTCAGACCCTCGAACTCTAAGTGCTCCAGTTACACCGAACACTACAGATTTAGGAATTCCATATTCTTTGCCCTACCCCTGCCTTTACACAAGAGAAAACTTCTTCCTCTGCTCTTTAAATCTGGTTAACTTCTACTCTGCAAAGATCTGAGGAATGGGTACCGAAAGTACATTCATAGGAACAACATTTTGCATATGGGTTAAACTTTCTTATCACCCATGTTAGTGGTTTTTCAAATGCCCACTGAGTAAGAATCAAAATGAATAATTAAGATGCAACTCAATAACAAAGCAAAAACAAAATCAATACATCATAAAAGAATGGGCATAGGACTGGAATAGATATTTTCCAAAGACATACAAGGGCCACAATGAAAAGGTGATGATCACTAATCATTAGGAAAATGCAAACCAAATGTGCAATGCAATATCATCTCCCACAGATGTAAGTGCTGGCATGGATTGGAGTATAAGAAACTCTTGCCTATTGTTGGTGGGAATATAAACTGAGACAGCTATTATAGAAAGCAGTACCCAAGTTCTTCCAAAAATTAACAGTAAAACTAACTTGTGTTTCAGAAGTTCCACATTTGGCTATATATTGAGAAGAAATGAAATTGGAATGTCAAAGAGATTTCTGCATGCCCTTGTTTCAGCAATATTATCCACAGTAATCAAAATATGGAATCAATCTTCATGTCCATCGGTGAATGTATGGGTAAAGAATATATGCTGCATGTGCATATCTGTGTGTATAAAATGTGTGTGTTTTTAAATATACCATAGAAAACAAGAATTTATATCTCAAGTTTTATTTGGTACTAGAATATGGATAAGACAGCTATTTTCATATCTTTGTTGTCATTTTGGACTTTTAGAAACTAAGAATAAATAATCAAAATATGATAATAATTTGAAAAATTCAATGAAATTATTATCATTGAGTTTCACTGCAAGGCCCTCAAGGCACCCTAGGAGCGTGTGTTCTTCCCGGCATATCGGGCCATAGCCTGCAGTAGTTGACTCATTCAAAGAGAATATACATATGATGTAAGTACATTTTTCATAAGTTGTTCTAAATACCACATAAATGTCCTGTCAATATTTTAAAAGCTGTGCTCATTTTTATAAGACTCAGAGCAATGTTTTATCTGACCCAGCTTAGCAGACGTATTGCATTTTCTACTTAACCCCGAGAGTTGGTTTCATATAAACTGTCAGCTTTTTAGTTTTATCGCTAAATGAGAACGTCAACCTAAGGCACCGACAGCTAATAGCCTAGTAAATGTTCTACGGGCTTGAGGGGACGATTTGAGCATGGCCCACAATCCTAAACAAACAAGATACAGAGCCTAAATGTTCTGTGCATGGTCTGCATGTCCTGTATGTAGGAGGGGAGTGGTGATCACAATCAATTACCAACAGCAAAGAGCTTTTCCAAATACCTGCTCTGCAGATACAGTACTAGGATAACTGGAACATGAGCTACCATGTTTGTGTGCCTCCTGTGTCCCCAGGCCTTCCACTTGGAGACGCATTGCTCCCCACCAGCCCACAGGAGCACAAGTCTCCCAAAGTACCAGAAATATGCACCAAAGGAAAAGGCTCACAGCTTTGCCTTTAGTTTTCTATTAAAGGGCGGGGGTTGCATTTTTTTAATGTTGTAGAACAAAGAAAGCTCTGAGTATGTCGTTCAATTTCCCAGTATGATTTTATGTTCTCTGCATTTTCCAGTTTAAAAGGTTTTATTCTCTCAGTTGTTAAAGCCAAGCGTGGAGATGCAAACTTGGAAGTCCAAAAGGAGCATTTAGGAGGATCAGAGACGAGAGTCGCGAGTTCAAGACCAGAGTGGCAAACTTAATGAGATGATAGAGAAAGAGGAGAAGAAGCAGTAGGAAGAGGAGGAGGAGGGGTAGGAGAAGGAGGAGGAGAAAGAGAAAGAGAAGAAGAAGGAAGAGGAGGAGAAGAAGGAAGAGGAGAAGGAGGAGGGAGAGGAGAAGGAGAAGAAGGAGGAGGAGGAGGAGGAGGGAGAGGAGAAGGAGGAGAACCAGGAGGAGGATGAAGAGAAGGAGAAGGAGGAGTAGGAGAAGAAGAAGGAGGAGTAGGAGAAGAAGGAGGAGGAGGAAGAGAAGGAGGAGGAGGAGGAAAGGAGACAGAAAGGCAGTAGGGAGGGAAAAAGGGAAGGAGGCAGGTAGCTCAGAACTCCCTGGGTTCAATTCCCAGTGACTCAATTTTTTTAAAAGATACTTTTTTATTTTGCAGGAAAAAATATCATACCAAAATAATAGAAGAATAACAATAGTTAATACATTGCATATTGTCATCTTCAAAGCAGTTACTCGGAGTACAAGATCTGGGCATAATAAATTCTGTAATCCACATTAGCACGAACCTTCCTTTTCAATGAGGTAAGAGACATTTGTAGTAGATCTAACTGGCATTTTTTCCTTTTCCCTTCCTTCACTGACTCTTTTCCCAAACTTAGTTCCTTTTTCCTTTTGAATAATTTCTTCCCATTTCAAAATATCTGTGCATTTTAGACCTTATTTACTCTTTCGTTTCTCACACCAGGGAGACAATATGATGTTTACACATGTAAGTCTAATTTATTTCACTTATCAATATACTCTCTAGTTGCATTCATTTACCTAAAGAAGTCTCAAGTTTATGCTTCTTTATGGCTGAGTAGTACTCCATTATATAAAAATACCACATCTTTTTATCCATTCCTTGGTTGATGGGCATTTGAGTTGTTTGTAATATTTAGATATAACAAATTGTGCTGCTATAAACATAGGTGCACATATATTGCTGTGGTATG